ACCGGGTGATCTAAAATGACTGCCAACAGTTTGAATTTCCCGCATAACTAAACATTCATAAGGTTGATAACATACCAAATGTCATTGATTTAAAAGCAGTGGTGGATCAAGGACCTATAGGGATGGTGAAGTGAACTAATTCTAGTGACTTTAGTGCGTGTGCGCCATTATGACTTTTGAATTTTGATTGACGGCTTATTATTGTGCTTTAAGTATAATTACGACTCATTATTACAATGAATTATGCATAATATACAAGTCGAAAACGTAAATGTTGTGTGACAAATTGTGAAGACGTTTCCCAAAAATGGAACCCGCAGTTTTTAAGAATTGGTTTAGAATATATAATGTGGAAGAAATTTACACAAAAGTTTTTGGTTTGTGAACGTCATTTTTCTGGCTGCGCTTTAGAACCAGAACAGAAACACGAAAAGGTTTAAAGCGTGTGGCAGTTTGCACTTTATATTTAGCAGATAACACTAATTGAATAGTAATAAATTGCTACATATTTTGTTTTTAGAACGATCTCGAGTCTCAAGAGCATCATAAAGTAGAGTTCCATGAAGTTGATCTTGTATAATCATATTAAATTAGATATAACTGTAGTGTATTTAACTCCCAGGTTCTACGCTAACTTCACACTACAAGAGAACACGGAAATAAAATCAACCCGGCAACGTTCAAAAATGGCCACCCGAATAGGCGCTTTCTTTCGGTGATCCAAACGCGTTTGGATTGTCAAATCACGTTCTTTCGGAGTGTGATCTTATAATAATGATTGCTAAAATCGTGAACAAACTGAACATAAAATTTTTTTGTCACGAATTCCACCTATAAATGCAAGGATATTTTTGCTCAAAGATTAGTCAATATTGTAACTGAAGCGGAGCATAATCGTGCAAGTACTTCCACTTGTATTTAAATTATTTTCATAATCCAAACAAAAAATACATAATTCGAATGCAAATGTACACTACGTAAACTTAACCATACTTTGATTTAAATTCGCGCGTTCTTTCGTAAAACGTGATCCTACTAATCACGATCTAGAAATCATGATTGCGAAGTAGGCGAAAGAAAGCGCCTAATGACTATTCCCTCCAAAACTAAACAAGATCTCGCTTAAATTTGAAAAGTGGCACGTGATAAAACATCTAAGGCAGAGCCCCCTTACGTTAGTTGTAAACAACGCTATGACCAGAAGCACAGTAGGGAAGGAACGTAAAATAAAACACTGAAATTGTGAACAGTTTGTTTAATAATGATCGCAATTATTATTGATTGTAAAAGCTCGGAAATTTAAGTCGAAATAAATTACATCGCAAAAATAAACTTTGAAAATGGTAGTTCATCGAATAAAAATAGGAATAGGCTGGGAAAAAAAGCACTTACCAATAAAAAAAACAGTGTCAAATTCATATTAAATTGTGTTGTAAAATTAATTCTTTGTAATGATGTGAATGCATAACATAAAATTATAACATCACAAAAGTAACAGGTAAAGGCAAACTTCAAGAGGTAACATATAGGTTAAAAACAAGTTTTGGGAATTATGGGTCAGGTAAGCAGGTTGTACAAAGATTCTAAGAAAGGGTGAAATACAAAGGATGTGACCCATCTTTGGTGCAATAAAGTCCTTTTGTTAAAAGCAAGTTGGAAAATTACATGGTTTTGCAGGCAAATTTAACTAAAAACAAGATATGTGGAAATTATTGAATCCCCACTCATTTATCGCACATAGATTCTAAACTGAAGAGCTTTTATTAGCGTAATTTCGTCCCCGCAAGATAGGTAGCGTCGCCCCTCGTTCGGGATTTCGAGCCTACAGTTGAATGTCGAAGACAATCACGGAATTAGGTGTCGTAGCTCAATTTTGACTACAGTTTTTACCATCCCCGTGACAGCTTCATTCACGGAGAAAATGTTAGTTACAAACAACAAAAGTCAGTACAAACATCAAACGAATCGGTAATTTCCACATATTAAAATAAAATGATCAAGATTTATATGAATGGTACCTCAGGGACAAAACCAAGTAATCAACATCAATAAACATAAATTAAGCAAGCATTACACCAAAAACGTAAACAATTACAAACAATAGCATAACGGTATTAAACCTGATTCTGCAGTACGGTTAAATCAAGTAAATTTAAAAAAACAAAGATTGAAACACACAAAAAATATAAAATGCGGCATACAAAACACAAATACGATATAAAGAAATGCAAAAATTGCTACCTAAATTAAATAACACAAAATAATAGCAAACATTTATGGAGCGATGCGTTCACGACTGCCATTCAAGACAAGATGCCCAACGTAACCAACGTTCTTGCTTTTTAGATCGCGCAGGCAGCTTTTTCCCACCTAGAAATTGCATGGTTGCCAACTCTCAAAAATGTATGTATCGAACCTCTCAACCTGACGAGTAAATTTTCCCCAAAGGATTTTGTTTCTGGATAGTTTTGGAGACAATGTGGATCTTATTTTTATATAATTCCTCGGATAAGTAGGTTAAAATTAAAATTCTCGGAGAAAGAACGATGATATGATGCCTCCATTCTTTAAGTTTCTGGTTTTTGCCCATCCAAAGGTACTAAACCTCTCGCCAGGAAAGATTGTCGGTCACAGAACACTTGACAAAAAGACTTTTCGTTCAACATTGGCACGATCCTATTCCAGAAGTCGCTCGCATCTTAAGAAAAACATAGATTGTAGATCGACACAATGTGTGCTGTGACCGGCAATCTTTCTTGGCGAGAGTTATATCATTGAATAATGCTATATACTGTAACGCTTTTAGAACACTTCCATGCCCCAACTCGGATTCGAACTAGGAACTATCATGGTCGTACCCTAGCTTCTGTCTAATTGTTAAACAATTCAAACTTGCAAAAATAAGATCCTAATAGTGTCGTCATACCTGCATCAATCGCCATGCCAGAAATTAATTCTTGACGGTTTATGTTTGCTTTAATTTAATTTCTCACTACTCTCAAAACATCTTAGCGTTTCTTAAAAGTTTGGTTTGATCCATTATCTGTGGTACATCCAATCACAGACCACCGAACTTTGTTAAAAACTAATTCACAAATTCCAAAAAAAAGCACCAAAATCTCCACTGACGTATAATTAAATTTAATTTGAAAATCTCCGCGTGACGTCTGCCATAACTTTGCCTACATGCGCAATATCCAAGGACGTTAAAGGTATTTTTAACGTCTTTGCATTGAATATAAATTCAATGGTCCTCGGCAATATGGAATAATAATAGGAGCTATTTAAATTTGAATATCTGGCAACGTTTCTTTGTTTAACGATAAAACTTTTGAACGGACGGGATTATCGTACCAAGGGAAATGACATGTGCGTGTTGTCAATTGTCAAGTAATTTATAATTACATCCACAACACAAAATTAAAAGTCCCGTAACACAAGAGACAATTATTAATTACGTCTCAAAAATATGTTAAGTAATTTCAGAAAATTCCTATTAGTTTACCCAAACGGAGAGGTTTCATTTGACCAATGAGGTACAGAACGTCAATTTTTCGAAAGGAGCACCCGAAAGAGCATGTTTCGAAGTAGAAGTTGGTTCGGTGCCGCTTGGGGACGCCCCAAGAACCCGCATTCTTTAGAGCACCTAAAATATCTCTACAATGTGCTCTCCAGAAATCAGACGGTATCCGAGCATAATCGCGGGTTACTTGTGGAAACCCTTCGATCGATAGCTGAAATACTAATATGGGGCGATCAAAATGATTCCTCAGTGTTCGAGTACGATCAATTATTCTTTAATTAGCCCGTTATTTGTAGTGATTTGTTTCAGTTTCTTTCTGGAGAAGAACATGCTGTCTTTCTTTCTTCGGATAATGAGGCAAAGAAGTGGCGGTTCCAGTTATGTATGTGTTCAGCTGTTACAGACTTTAAATATTCTTTTTGAAAACATACGTAATGAGACTTCACTGTGTAAGTGTTGTAGGTGGGTGACTGTGGGTAATTGAAGAATTTTTCAGATTATCTTCTTTCAAATAATCACGTAAACTCTATTATTGTTCACAAGTTTGATTTCTCTGACGAGGAAGTTATGGCGTATTATATTTCGTTTCTCAAAACGCTAAGTTTGAAATTGAACCCTCATACAATTCACTTTTTTTATAACGAGGTAGGTGACTGTTACAGCTCTGCTTGTTTTTACACTGATTTTTCCAGCACACTAACGATTTTCCCTTATACACCGAGGCTATTAAGTTTTTTAATCATCCCGAATCCATGGTGAGAATTGCCGTTCGAACACTTACACTCAATGTATATAAAGTGGAAGATGCGAGCATGTTGGCGTTTATTCGTGATAGGACCGCCGCTCCCTACTTTTCGAACATCGTGTGGTTTATTGGTAAACATATTCACGAGTTGGATGCGTGTGTTCGGAACGACGCAGAGTAAGTGCACTACTGCATAGAGGAAATACAATAAGAGTTACAAACAAATACGATAAACTGGCTTTGTTAATTTTCGCTCAGGAGATGCTGTCATCTGCTTTTAAAGGGGTGTAACTAACCGTAAAAATAGAAAATCGTACGTTCATTAGTGTGTCGATATGCGGTCCCTTCGTTCTGAGATGGCGCTATAGTTAGTCGAGGAGCGCCTAATTACGAAATTCGTTCTCATAAATCTAGTTTAGAAAAATGTACGTAGTTCCTTCACTCTCACACTTTAGACTCTTTAGAGTTGCATTAAAATTTTTCTCTACGTTTTAAGACATAAATACAATTTTAATCGAAATACAGTTCAACAAACGCCCAACCAACGTACTTATTTGGTTTCAGCAATGGAACAATTTACGACATTTACTCTCTAGGACCTTTCCCTAGAAGTAGTTCAAAACGGTAGAAGTGGGTCCGGAGGGACGGACGGACAAAATACAAACAATAGCACATTTTTTTAATTCTTAAAAAATGCGCTAAAAACACCTAGGACTATTGAAAACTACGAGTACTTAAAACAAATTCAAAAAACACACTTTAAAGGCAAGTAAACGACCAAGTCTAGCAATTGGGAAAATGTAAACACAAGAACAAGGTCATGATCATTCCATATTGCCAACCGTAAAGTGTAAATATGGTAGACATATCTTTAATTTTTAATTATAACGCAATTAATGGATTTTATTTAACGATTATTGCTCTGTTTTAAAGTTAAGTAATCAGTGTTTCGATATAAAAGGGTCGATATGCTTATTTAATGCGCATAAGGTCAGTATAAGCCCGTAAAGAGGGCCTATTTAAAAGTGATACTTAAACGTCTGGGGCGATAAGGGTCAATATCTTCGACAGTAAAACAGCCAAGTCCAGCATTTCGAATTTCCCGCTCAAATTTGACGTCACACTAATAGAGTCTAATACCATTTTACATGCGCCTTTAGTGGCAAGTAAAACTTTTGAAAATGGGAAAGGCGAGGGGGGGGCAACCACACTTTTACCCATTCGTGGTATTCTAATTAAAGGTCTCAACAAAAGGAACTGTTTTCTACCAACTATCGCCCTTTTTTCTTACACTGAAAAAATTCGAAATTACTACAAACGAATTTTTGAATTTTTAAGAAATCTTTTTTGAATCGATAGTGAATTTTTTCAGTGTTATATTTAAAAAACAGAATTTAATATGCTATTTTTAGATTGAAATATACAGGGTATGCCATTTAAATAAAATTAAGTTAGATCCAATAACTTTTTTACCCGATAGTACTGTATAATTATTTATTTAGAAAACGGCAGATTATTTATCAATAATTTTCAAGAAACATTTACGGTCATTCTGAAATTGAAAATTGTTTATCTCCATATCTCTGAAGCAAAAATGTGCAAATTTTGATTTTACCATTGCAAGTTTGACCCAAAAAGAGCCCATAACGCCTATAAAAGTGTCGAAAATGGGACACCCTGTACATGAAATACTATGTAAAATTCCAAAAGGAAAATAAAAATGTATTTTCATTTAAAAAAAAGTTGTTTGTTGTAACTTATTTTTGGGCATGTGCTCATTTGAAACTTTAAAACTTCGGGTAAGAAATACAGGGAAAACCACAGAATTATTAATTTCAAAATGATTATCGGCCCGTATTATAAAGCCATACACCAACTATGTTGTCATGTGATTGGATATTTTTACAAACAATAACATCATTCTTAAGCCCGCCCGTGTGTCGCAGTTGAGTTGAAGCTGGACTGCGGTACTAAGGGTCCCTGGTTCGATTTCGGATTGGTAGAGCAGCCTTAGCTGAAACCCCGCCCACTCAATACAAGTTAAAAAAGTAATCGTAAACCATTTATAAAAAGCGCATTTCCACTTGCATTCATTTCTCATTTGTCAGATGCAACTTCTATTAAAATCCTAAAAAACCGGCCACAAATATGAAAGATAGCGTTGCATATGTGCAATCCATTTTGATGTCCTACTTCAATTTCAGTTTATAAGATGAATTTCATTTCAATGCTTTCATAAATAAGAAAGTTGACAATGCGCATGCGCAAACCTAAATTTTGAAAGTAACGTTAGATTTTCCTTTGTTTGAGGTGGTTATGTATCAAATTTCATTTAAGTGCTTCCATAAATAAACAAGTTTGCAATTCGGTTTATAATTAGTCGAGATGCAAAAAGGGCGCTGTGAATTTTGAATCGATTCGACTCAACTTTTGGCATTGCGTATTATATGGCTAAAGCTATGCCCATATTGCATTTGAACTTAGACGACAGTTTTAGAACAGTCATGGCCATTGTTTAGCAACAAACAGTGATTTAACTTTTTGGTAATTATCTCTTTTTAACGCAGTTTTTGCAAATTTATTTGTAAAACGGTGACTTTTAATCTCACTTTGGCCGACGCGCTAGCTGGCTACATGATGTGGGGTTGGTGACATCCGGGCACCATCCCCGACCGTGGTTTACTAACGGTGATTTTTCAGTTTTTCCTGCAGAACGAGGAAAAAATTTAAAAATCACCCCGTTAGTAAACCACGCTCGGGGATGGCGCCCGGATGTCGCCGACCTCACATCATGTAACCCCGTCCCTAAAGAATTGTTAATTATGCGGTCTGGTAGGTACAAGTACACTCCTCATCTTTCTACAACTGCAGAAAATAGACTTTGTTCAAAGCGTATAATCGGATATGAAGATTATTTGGAATTGTATCGGAAGTAGGTACGCGAGAAGTTTAAAAATTGGTTTGAAATTTCCAACGAGCAAACGATCAATTTATTAATAACCCCTATGTATAATGTGCGGTACAAATCTTGTAATCTTTATGCACTCGAATTTAAATAGGGACAATAAGTTTGTCGAAACCCTCAACAAATTTTTTATTTAATGAACCTTCGATACTGCTATTAATTGTTGTTTGCGTATTGGATTTCGTTTCGCACATTTTATAGAATTGCAAGTAGGTAATAAATTATTCGACAGAGTACAATCAATATATTTTTTTTTCGGAATGCATCCTCTTGAAAGGTCGGGCAGTAAAGAAAAGTGATTCTTCGATTTATTTACAGAGAGTGTACGTAAATTTATCAGTTCAAAATCAGACATTATAAATGAATTCGTAAAGCCGCGACTTTGAGTGGTTCATAAACGCGCTAATTCAGCTACCCAATTTAGTGATCTGTTCTACATAACAGGGGGCGCTGAATGAAAATTTACCCTAAAGTCACTAAATATAAATATAAATATCTAGTGACTTTAATTTACCCTATTTACCCACGCTTACATCGCCATCTACTTATGAGGTGTGTGAAAGGTGGCCACAAATTAATAAGTGCCTGGAACTCTTACTGTATTTACTCTATGACTACTGCGATGCATAATTTATTATTTGCGTTTTCAGCCACCAGTCTCAGAATCGGCTGTCTGATCTGGTCGCGGAACACTTGGATCACCTTCACTACCTGAACGACATTCTCCTACTGAAAATAACGGATTTGAATCAAGTCCTAACCGACCATCTTCTCCATAAGTTATTAATCCCTCTGTACATTTATTCGTTATCGTCCATTCGCAGACAGTCCGAGGTGACAATGGAAACCGCAACCCAAAATTTGGCAAGAGTTCTAAATAAATCGCTATCTTCATTTGAACAACAGGAATCGGCAAACGGGAAAGTATCGTCGGTAGTCTCACTGTTCCTCCTCTCCCAAGTATTTTTAATAATCTCCCACTCGCCGTTAATACGTTACCTTGCCTGGATCATCCTACGAACCGAAAGGAGTACCTTCGATCAGGGCTTAGACAAACTGTCGGAACACTACGAAATATTTAAACGTAAATTCGAGCTCACCGAGTGCGAGCAGAGCAGTCAGCTCGAAATCGAGTCGAACGCGAGCAGCTCTGGTTCGAAGGAGAATCTATTGGAAGAACCGAAAAACGTGACCGACGAGGAGAAGGAGAAATTGGCGTCGACGCCGACCGAAAGTACAAACATATCGGAGAAACCGTTTCTCGAAACTGTATATAATTCGCTAGACTGTACGGACAACGATTACGCCGCGCTCTTCGCTTTATGCTTGCTGTACGCTCTGGCAAATAATAAAGGTAAAAGACGGACAAGCTTGGGTTTCGTTTCAAGCACGATTAATTTCTAGGAGTTTTGCCAGATCTGTTGGAGTTAGTGTTGAAGCCGAGAATGTCGCCGTCAAAGTCTGTAGGTAGAGATATTAAGTATTCGTATAATACGCATTTAGTGGAAAAGTTATTGCATATTGTGATATTATCGTGCCAACCGTCGTGCCGAGTGCGTTTGGTCACGCTGGAGCTGGCTCTGAAATTGCTCTTGCAGCTTGTTACGTGCGATGGTCAAAATGTAATGAGCGATTTACATAAAACTTCCATCGAGGCGGCAAGGACTCAAAGTACTGCTCTGTTAAGGAACTTTTATAAAAGTGAAGAAATATTTTTGGATATGTTTGAACATGAGTAAGTACGGTAGAAAGTTCAAAGTTTGATGTTTCAACTCGAAAGTTCAAAGTTTGGATTGACATTCAGAGATTGGGTTCAAAGTTCAAACTATTTTAAACTTTACCATTTCTGTTTTTGTTTAGGATTTTACACCTGTTTTTTTTATTTTGGAGTGCGTATGTTTAAACTGAATGTTCAAACTCAAAACTTTTTAAACAACTTTGTTCTTTCTCTTTATCTAAAGTATTGCCATGGGTTAGGAAAATATGTCTTACGAAATTTTAACATATACTTCTACTGGGTGACCCAATAAGAATGTTCCTCGGCCATATCTCAGGAACCGTTCGTCGTATGACTTAGGGGTAAAAAATTATTGGGTAAATCGGTTATGAAGAATCGCTGGAAAATATTTTCAAGTTCTAAAAATGACTACCAGAGGGCGTAACTGCCAACTTAGATTTTAAAATTACATTTTAAATTTCGTATATTAAACTAAACATTCTTTTTTCACATTTTAAAAGAGAACCAGTTTATCTATTACTTTCGTAAAAACAAAAAGATGGTGTGGGGCGTTCAATTGTTTTTGCAATAACCTGCTTTAACTTCTTAACCGTTTGACCGATTTTAACAAATTAACATAACAAATAATAACAAGAATCAACCAAAATTTAGTTAATTTAGTTGATTCCTTCTCCGCCAGGGGGCTCGTTTTGACACTATCATCCAAAATCCTAAAAAAATCAAATGGAATGATATGACTTTTTCTTTATGAAAAAGTAGCCAAATAACACCCAAAGAGGCCAGTGAAAAGCCTTTTTCAAAATATAGTTCCTAACCTCAAATATTGGCAAAATGAGATTAATTAATTAATTAATAAAAATGCTTAAATTGTATCTTATTTGACGTATTTTCGGTATTTGTCGATGGCGCGAAAGATTGTTTGGAAAAGGACCCTACACTTTTAGGTAGGCCTTGGAAAATTACACAAATGAAACACGATACATTATAAAATAATAACAGCCGTAATTTGTAAATTATTCTGCTGTGTTTACATTCAGAAAGTGAAACTTTTTGAATTTGTAATCTTTTCTAAAATGCCGATTTCTAACCAAGAAGCATTTAATATGCTGGCGGCGATGGTTTGTGCTCGATTTGGATAACGCAAATAGAAGATGCGGGCAGCGATGGTCGCATTTTGAAAATACTCAAAATATATCGCCAGCATATTAAATGCTTCTTGGTTAGAAATCGGCATTTTAGAAAAGATTACAAATTCAAAAACCTGCACTTTCTGAATGTAGACACAGCAGAATAATTTACAAATTACGGCTGTTATTATTTTATAACGCACCGTGTTTTATTTGTTTAATTTTCCAAGGCCTACCTAAAAGTGTAGGGTGCTTTTTTTTTCTTAGGAGGGGAAATGCATTTACGCACAAAGTGTGGGACTCCCCCGGATATTGGTATACCCAATAAAACCCCTCCTCAGGTGTCAGCTGCTGAGGCTATTGGCCGTTATTACGAGCTAAGTTCAAAGTATAGATTTTATTAAGGTTTTCACTGGCCTCTTTGGATGTTATTTGGATACTTTTTCATATGGAAAAAGTCGGATCATCTCATTTGATTTTTTTAAGATTTTGGGTCATAGTGTCAAAACTAGCCCCCTGGCGGAGAAGAGTTCAACTAAATTATCTATTTTTGGTTGATTCTCATTGCCCAAGGAATGTTCTTTTCAACCATACCAAATTTGTTAAAATCGGTCAAACGATTAAGAAGTTAAAGCAGGTTATTGCAAAAACAATTGAACGATTCATCACCATGTTTGTTTTTGAAATACTTAACTGAGTTTTTGGTTTTACGAAAATGGTAGATAAACTGGTTCTCTTTGAAAATTGGAAAACAATTTTTTTAGTTTATTATGCGAAATTTAAAGAAAATGCACTTTTAAAATTTAAGATGGCAGTTACGCCCTCTGTTGATCATTTTTAGAACTTGAAAATATTTTCCAATGATTCTTCATGACTGATTTACCCAATAATTTTTTTTACCCCTAAGTCATATGACGAACGGTTCTCGAGATATGGCCGAGGAACAGTCTTATTGGGTCACCCGGTACATGGCACTATGTTCAGGACTGTGCAGAGTTACTGGTAGACTGTGCTACCTACTGTGACTAGAAAGAGTGCAGCCATATGCTATATGTCCACCATGTTTTTTTCCAAATTTATCATTGTGTATTTATCCAAATTTGTAGGATTTTCGTATGGTTACATAGACAGTTACATTAAAAACACATGTAAAACCTAATTGTCTCTACCATCAAAAAATATGAGTCAATTTTTACGTTACTTAATTACTAACGAGGTTACTATACAGGAATCTGTAATAAACCTTAGACAAATTCATTATCTCGATTCGTATATTTTTTTAATACGGTTTTAGAAACTTACTAAAGAAAAGTTTGTAATTCATTTCACACAGAAGATACATTTAATATTCTCCCTTTCATGGCTTTACTTAACGATTACGAAGTGGTTACAATTCCCCAGTCCACAAAAAAAACCAAAATGGGTGACTGAAATGTAAGACAGGTGTAATCTAATTTCTTTATTGTCAATTTGTCTCAGAGCCCCCTCATTTATAACATTTTACAATTATAATTAGAGGCCCATAAAGTTCTAGAGCTCTTGATAAAAGTTAGAAAGAGTTTCAACATTTAATCATAAAAATCAGTTTTTAAAATATGGGGCGGGGGGATTTTACGAAGCTCCTCCTCCCATTGCGTCAAAAGTAAATTTTAATTGACACTTGAAATAAATCTTTGGCATGAGTAGAAACAAATTTAACATAGAAACTCTATCGGGGCGCACAATGGGTTCAAATAAACACGATTAATTGATTGACAATGATAACAATGTGTTCCAAAACACATAAAAAAAAAATAAAACAAAATCCTTGAAGGAAAGAAAAGCTTATAAAGTTTGAACATATTACCCCGCACGCCGACGATTGACAATTAAAGTAAATAATTTTAAAATTACATAGTTTTTTCGCAATAATCTGGCGCACTAAAACTGACACAAAAACACTCTCTGACAACTTCAGGAAACTTCAATGTTCTCGACAACACTGAATTAGATGCCAAACAAAATTGGTTTGATGAATTACATGGCAATTTTCTATAGCTGTTTGGCCAGTAGAAACCTTTAAATTTTAACAAGAACACCACCAAAATTACTTCTTAAACTCGCCAAAACTTTACGAAATCGGAAAACACACACAAATTTATTATAATAAATGATGACCTGCGTCTTCAATTAAACAAGGGCGGACTGCCTGTAATTTGGCGTAAACAAATTTACACGCTCTTTAACCGTCTCGAAACTTAGCAGCTTCGTTTTCACGTTGTCTCCCTATTTAAGGATTCTACCATTACGAAATTTCAAATAAATCGCCAATCACAATGGAAAGTCCAAACGTCCACTCTTCTCCAATATAAAACGCACAATTCTTCGCATCACCTGCGTCTTCGTTGTCAGCACCAAATGTGCATTTACTTAAAATTAAATAATTTTTGCCTGAGAAACACTTCTTGTCGGAAACGAATTAATAAAGTAGGCACACTTGACCAGATGTGTCATACTTCTAACACCGTATTTTCTCTAAATTGAATAAGTTACAAAAGCGATCAAATTTAACCAAGAACTACGCAATTACAAGAAATTCTAAAAAGAAAAACAAATACGGAAATACAAATTCAAATAAAACGAACCAACTTTGTATTTCATTTGTAAATAATCCCCCACAATTACTGAATAAACTGAAATATTCTCATATACAGATTTTTCTGCAGTTTTCCTAATTCATAAGGTAAATACCCAGAACAAGAGAGGGATAATAAATAAATAACTTCTCATTATTTTTGGCGTTGACCGAAAGTAGTATATTTCTTAAGGAAATGAGTGTAAAATCTAAATATTATAAACGTTTTTTTTTATTTTGTGGTTAAATACCAAACTTCATTATAAAAAAACAATAGAAAGTTTCAGTGCTTTTAATGGGCCTTCTGACACATACGCATTACACGCATTTTAATAAATCATGTAAAAATCTTTATTGGGAACAAGACCAAACACCAAAAGCATTATCTCAGGGGCCAAGACATACTGCTGTATAACTCACCTAGGAGACAAGTATGACCCACACAAAGATGCAAAATGCTAACGCAGATCTTTAAGTGTACCAATCACCAAAATTTAATTGCATTTGTTTTTACAATCACTTATTTTGTTTTACAAAAAAATAACACTCGGCTTGCCCAAATTAAAAGAGATTCAAAATTTACTAGGTTCATAAACAACACCCGTCACAAAGTTTAAAAAAACAAACATCACTTGTCCTGTCCAAACGTATTTACTTTTAACAAACTTTATACTGAGATAATACTTAAAGAATAATTTCTAAAGATAAGGAAATTCTATACAAAGAAACACCTGCAATCTTTATCAACTTAAAATATCAAATTAAATAAAACCAATAATCTAATAATAGCCCAACATCAGACCAACCATCTAGAGCGGTGATAAGACCTTCTCATTACATTACAAAACATACGCAAACAAAATTATGCGTGGTATCACAGCATTTTACCCCCCTAAAATTTAAACAACAAATTTTGGGCTTAAGAAACAATTTTTATTTAAAATTTCAAAACTTCAACATCTTAAGCAAAACAAACTCACTCTCCTAGAAAAAAAACTCATCCTGGATGGAGTAACACCTACTACTACTACCTAATATTTACACAAACTCATTTTAAATAGTAGCAAATTATATACAGGGTGGTGCGTAACGCATCATAGGGATTTCAATGTAAAATTCATAACATGCGATTATTCGCTCCCCAAATTATTTTAGAGCAAAAATTTATTTAGGTTTTTTGTAGAAACATTTTTTTTACGTCAATCAACCGTATTAGTTTTCAATTTTGTGCATAATAAAGACGGAAAATTGGAAAAATAAAACCCCCATCTTTTGAATAATCTGTGATGCCATGGAATTTTATAATACAAAAACTACGCCAATATCCGTCATGCCATGGAATGTCTGCTATAAAACAAATCAAATTCTATCAAAAAGTATTATATTTAGAACAGCGAATTCAACATAAAGAAAGACTAAACGGTTTCCTAATATAACAATTTACAATAAATGTTCGAATAAAGCCCGCTTGACATGGAGCAATAAAAATTGCAATTGCATGCAAGTTGCAAGAAAAATTGCGAAAGGCATGCGCAGTTCAAAGCCAGCTGATCAATTGCTGCAAGAGACTTGCATGCAATTTTTATAGGACCGGTGCTATTTTTCTTGCATGAATCGTGCAATTCTAGGGATAAATCTAGTTGTTTTTGTGGCACCAACCTAGTAAAATACAGCGGCGGCAACTGTGATGCTGAGAGACGCACTCATTACTTGTTTTTACTAATCTTATTTATTCTTGTAATTTTCATGTTTCTTCAAGCAATAAAAATTTAATTTTCATTTGAGGTTAACAACTTTGTTGACAAATCCATATGTTTCTTCTGTTGGCAGACATGTGGCAATTGAAATAGAATTGCACCATGTCAAATACCATGCAATGCTTAATTGCATGCAAGGATTTGACCTTGCAATTTCTTTCTGCAAGTTCTTGCGCGTTGTATTGCTACATGTCAAGCGGCCTCAGCAAGACAGTAACCAAGTCGATCATAAAATCCATTTCGAACTGCTGCTAATTGATAACTGGATATCTTTTTGTTTTAGAAAATTCCATGGCATCGCAGATTATTGAAAAAGATGCGAGTTTTATTTTTCCAATTATTTTCCGTCTTTATTTGAAAAAAATTGAAAACTAATACGGTTGAGTGCCATAAAAAAATGTTGTCTACAAAAAACTTTAATACATTTTTGCTCTAAAATAATTTGGGGAGCCAATAATCGCATGTTATGAATTTTACATTGAAATCCCTATGATGCGTTACGCAAGTCACCACCCTGTATAATGCTTAACTTTGATGCCCTCCGTTGAAATTCGGTTTCAAGGGGCTTGCTTCAACTATACAAAGTCAGACTTCCCCCGAGTAATGACCGCAATGTGTTTATAACAGGCCAACGAGCACAGACAACTACCTACTCTGCCTGCTTGAAGCAGTCCCATGGAGATCAACCAACAGACCATATGTAAGAATACGACGGTAGCGTGAAGTTACTACATATTTTGAAGTTTAAAATTAAAAAGGTGAAGATGTTGCACTTCTATTAGTAATTGTACACGTATAAAAGTGTTGTTACGTTTAAGATATATAACAGCAATACCATTGGTAACCTTCATGTTAACTGTTATAAAACTGTTCTGTAGGGAAAACGTAACATGATTATATTACATTCAGTATGTGGAAATTTACCTTTACCTTTACATAACACTTGTTATCCAGGATTTGTAAATCCTCCTTTAAGTCGTGCCAATGTTTCTTTAACATGCCAACAGACTAATACCCGGAAACCGTTTTTAGATACTGTGATATGTCAAAAGGTCCTCTAAACGTAGAATGGTTATGTATGGATAGCGCGATTTTGTTACCTCCGACTGGAACACCCATGACTGGCATAGACTTTACGAAAAGGTTGCCATGTGGAGAGGTACATCTTAGTATTTTTTTCGACGCAAGCTGACCGAGATCGTTTTCAGGTGGAAAGGGCCAGAAGAGCGATTAGAGTATTTTTTCTTGTGAGAGATGCGGTATTAACGCTGAACGGCGAGATAGAAACCCAGCTACCGCTGACGAATCCCCAGAGCTGCGTGCAAATCGACACTGCCTTGGATCTGAGTATAGCTCGTTGTGTGTCACGATCACAAAAATCAAACAATTGCTAGTGTAAAGGACCGTCATAGTTTGTAGCTAACCTTATTGTTGTTACTTTAATGTATCTTTCTTTTGTAGAAATTAAATTATTTATTTTATATTTTTATACAACAATATCTAGCGATTGTATTATTTTTGTGGTGTTTTCAAGTCGACATTCACTTCATAACGCTTTTTTTATTTCAGATAATTCAGATTTAATTGCATGCACAGTTGTTTGGAAAGACGGACAGAAGATTAGGCGATTTTTAGTCATCGATATCATGCAATTGATATTAGTCGAGCCGGACACTAAGAAACTCGGCTGGGGTGTTGCCAAATTGGTCGGTTTTCTGCAGGACATTGAGGTTTCGGGGGATAAGGACGACTCACGTTGCTTACATATTACAATACATAGACCTTTGTCAAGTGGTTCGACTAGTCGGATTCCCCTATTGTCTGCCAAATTTGTGTTTGATGACAATATTCGTTGTATGGCCGCCAAACAACGTCTTACTAAGGTGAGTCTTGATGGGCCTTCAGTTTTTAGCATTCAATTTTTTCTCATGTTTCTAGTAGAATTTTTATTTCTGCCTTTGTTCGTTTATTTACCTGAAACCGTCAAGAAAATCTAAATTTTAGGGCTATTTTGACATTAGAAAGTTGATCTTTACCTGACTAGTACTGTAATATTTTTGCCTGACTCCCATCACAGTCCTAGTACATGCAAAATAACAATTAGATTGTTCATTATTCAATCAACGATTGGATAATTATAATGCAGACCATGTGGATGTTTTTAAATATTAATATTCCTACACAAAGGATAATGGTTTTTTAATTACTAACAATTAATGGAATATGTGTGGATGTAATTATTCCTTTAGTTTTGCGCCAGTCATTAAAAGGTTTGTACGCCTTTTCGTACCTCTTTCTTGACTTTGTGGGGAGCGAATATTGCACTACGGCGGCCGCAGCTTCAGCTACATTATAACAACGTCTCGCGTAGGTACTCTTCTTCACTGATACCTGCTTTTGTACCTAGTTATAAAGACTGTATAGTAGAAAAGTACAAAGCATAACTGCATTAAAAATGACACTGATTGTTTTAATTACTTTGAAATCTCTATGGAAACAATTAAATAAAGTGATTTTAGCATGCGTGATTAGGTATCAAAATTTCACACATATAAATAATTTAATTTGGAAAAGTTATCTACATGTTTGCGGTTTCAGGTAAAATTTTATACATCATACGTCATGAAAGTGAGTCCACCTGACTTGGAGGCATTAAAGAGATACTCGCGTCCTCGTACTTTCCAATAAGCCTCCGCGTCATGTAAACAACCACTTTCATGACTTATTATGTAAATAACTATTATTCACCACCACATCAAAATATTCCAGTACCCATTCCTCTCATTGCTTCTATCAGATAGAGATATTTTCAAATTTGTTTTTTTGGAACACCCTGTATCTTTTCCATCTATTCCAGGGAAGAATTAAAGCTCGCCAGAAAAAGATGCAGCACATCGCCAGACTCCTGGACATTCCCGGACAAACGGGTCCGCCAAGCCCCGCCTATGTAGGCGGAGGTTCCTACGTGTCTAGAGGTATCAGCCGAATGTCTCGCGATAATCGGCCCCTTTTCCACACGGGCAGGGTGCCCGGTTTCGCCGCACCTCACCGCGAAAATTTGCCTGGCATTATTCATCGCGTCGACGAAAAGCGGCGCAAATCGACCGAAAGTCCGACGAGGCCCTCGCATCCGGCCGACACCAGTACGAAGATCGAACGGAATCGTTCTCGCGAGTCGTCGTGCAACCGACTGAGATCGCGCGAGGGAAGTCCGAGAATGCCGCGCCCGCGCTCCGAGGAAATACCGTTAGAGTTAATCAAGAAACCGCCGAATGGAGTAGGAGATATTATAAGTCCAAAAATTACCATTTTACCGCGTCCCCAAACTCCGCGCGACGACGTGGAACCTTCAACGTCGGTGGCTCCGTCGAAGTCGCCGCCGCCGCAACTTGAAATCGCCGAGGCGAAAACTTCAGAAGAAACGTCTTTTATGGCGGAGGAGGGAAACGTAACGCAAAGAAGGAAGGGCATAGTAGAAACAGTATAATTTTTAGTTGTTTATAGGCGAGAATTGTTGAATATTTATAAGAATTGACGTATTTGCATTTTGTTGGAATAAATGAAACTCATAACTTGTTTATTATAGATCTAAAGCGGGTGAGACCTGATTAGACGGCGATACTTACTCAGTATTCCTAATAGTGGATACAATTCGGCAGCTATCAACTTTTTAAGTGTGACTGCCTTGACATTAGATGGAAGGTTTAGCGAGATTAATGGTGGTCCGCTTCAGACGTGCGAAGAACGTTCATTCCTCTTGAGTTATTCCGGTCACAGAATTTAATTTCGCGTGTTTAAAACTTCCACTATTGTTCGTAGTTACGGTAATAGTTTTTTTAATTTGTATTAAACTACGCATTCTTTTTACAAGTACTTAACTTTGCTACCGCATTTGCACCGAAAAATACACGCTTTTGATTATTATTGGACATCAAAATCAAAAAGTATATAACGTACGTACTATCAAAATATAATATAAAGCCACCCTGCGCTAATCTACGAGTAGTTACCGCGAATTTTCGTTTCACAAAATATAACACACCCTACGGTAATTTATAGAATTTGCTTATGACTCAAATACCCACCCGGTTCTCTCGGAACACCCGTTTCCCACTGCTATACAACTGTACTTTGTAGATTGACACCCATCCCACAGGTACAGGGTGCCCATTATGTATGGAATCAAAGAGTATATACTCTTTGATACTATATATCTCGGTAAATATCGACTGTATACAAAATTTTTGTAAATAAAATCTAACTTTTTATTTCGCATAATAAGGCAGCATTCTATTGTTTTTATTTCATAAAACAAATGAATAAGGAAAAACAATTGAATTTTTTTAAATAACAATACACACTTTCATTAGACTCATTTGATAGAGATTTTTTTCTCTAGGCATCGGTATCAGAATCACTCTACTACTACATGTAAGACTACTAAGGCGACTGCGCGACAACACGCCGATTGTCTCAATAATCGTTGCCATAGATTTTAAGATCGTCTTAACTTATTGGTGGTACAACCGGGCATAAAACCAAAGAGGCTACTAATTGCCTGGAGGATTTGCGAAAATAATTGAGTTTAACATGAGGTTGAACCAGTATCTACTCAAATTATGTAATGCCATCTGGGAAGAAAGTATTCGGGAGTAGTAAGTATAAAGCATGATATAATTAAAACAAGATATGCTAGATTGCCGTTCCAAATTCGTCCAGTTCGCGCATGACGTCACGCGGTGATAAAATTTGAATTTAAAGCCGGATTTTTTTCTTAATTCTACTACAAACACTCAAATTTCTTAATTATAATGGTTTAGGGGAAAAGAGAGTTGAAATTATAAAGCCTAAACGCAAAATATGCCGAAAAATATCAATAGATCGTTAAAGACCATCTTTAAATGCTATAAGCTATAATTAAGCGCACCATAAAAAGAGGAAATGCAGGCGTTTTCCATACTATAGTAAGATACCTACTTATGCTAAAGTATCTAAACATTGGCCCGTATGAATAAAAATAAGCAAATGCTTATACTTGTAAAATTCAAAGTAAATACTCGTAAGTGCCCCTTTATACTGGTTTGTTTAGCAGCGCTGCACTGCGTCCTGTTCTACTGCTCAGCAGCGCTGCTAAGTCGCCCAGTGCGAAGGAGCACTTACGAGTATTTACTTTGAATTTTGCAAGTATAAGCATTTGCTTACTTTTATTCATAGGGGCCATTGTGGACATGGATATTAAAAACGAAATGACTCATATAAAATATTGAATTATGTAGGTACACAAGGTATAATTATAGATTCAAAAACGGTATGCGATAAGATAAAAATATATTGAATTATTGTTCTTTATTGCTAGATAACTTGGTAATATACAATTTAAAAAGTAAATCGGACATCAGGAAGGGTAAAGGAGTAGGTACAAAAAAGGCATGTTTGTTATTAGAATAGTCTCAAGTTATTTACAAAATATTAAATAAACAAGTACACATAACATATTAAATTAGTAATCTCGTGAACACTGAGATGTGAGATGGAGTCAAATACTATTATTTCTACCTTCTTTAATATTCCAGGCATTAATTGAATTTTTTTACATCATGCTCTAAGCGTTGACACTGCTGGCAGAGGGTATCCTTTTTCCGTAACAACCTCTTGCACCAGCTGAATGAATGATAATAGCTTTCGAAATATCTTCAATTGTCCATGTTACTCCCTTATAAGGATGTTTCAATATACAGATTTCAGTGGTGGTGAAAAACCTGTGAAAAATTTCATTTTCTTCTTTTAATTTGGCAATTATCTCGTCTCTGTTGTCAGCATCAGTGTTCGTACTGAAAAACGTCTCTAAACCAATTTCTAATACACCAAAACAAGAAACTTACCTGGTTTGTAGGAGAGTTGCAACTAATTTTGACCTATTTCTTTTGTTAATGCGACTGATGGTTCGGGCCGATTCCCCTTTCACATCCTTTGAGTTTCCCAGTGGCAAATTGAGAAATGGTACGGCGTCTGGGGGTACGTTACGCTAATAAGCCCCCCAGGTATGATAATGAAATTGATAGAAATGGATAGAGGACACCTTAATAACACGTTTAGATTAAAAAAATTTGCGGAAGAGGGCCTAAATTTTCCACAATCTTAATTAAAAGTTGACCTCATTTTCTGGAAATCTGGTGTGACAGTAAATTTTTGTAGGAGGTTATGTTAACTTCTTCGTCTACTAAAATGAAATATGCTGGATTTAAAGTGTATATTAACAGAATGTAATAAAAGTAGTACAACAGTTATAATATACAATTCAATTTTAGGTTTTGTTCGACTTAAACACCAAATAAGCGACACTTCCATGTGACTGACATTTTAATAACACCACTTTTTGAAGCTTATACAGTCTAAACTTGAATGCATTAGGGAAGAAGGATGTCGTAGAGAAGGTTGCATGTGGCAAAAATTTCTTGGTATCGATCACCGAGAGGGGAAACCCGGGCACTTCCTGCATGTTTCATATGAATCGACGCTTAGCATCCACCGCCTAATACGGTCGAGAGGGGAAGGAACATCTCTCGCATTTTCCATAGATCGCAGCTACGTTACCGATCGCCGCTTAACTTGGAACGCCTTTTTCGTATCGATCGCCGCTTAGCATCCACCGCCTAATACGCTCGAGAGGGGAAGGAACATCTCTCGCATTTTCCATGGATCGCAGCTACGTTAGCGATCGCCGCTTAACTTGGAACGCCTTTTTCGTATCAATCGCCTCTTACCATCCACCGCCTAATACAGTCAAGAGGGGAAGGGACATCACTCCCATTTTCCATGGATCCATGGATCGCAGCTACGTTAGCGATCACCGCTTAACTTGGAACGCTTATGAACCGCTGCTTAGCAATGTAGGATGTAGAGAACTACTTAAGTACTTACTGCTATTATGGTATAATTAAAAACATGTATAAAGTTGTATATCATTGTTTAAAGTTAATTAAATCGTGGAAAAATAACATAACCTCTTAAGAAACTAACTAAAGTTGGCACTCAGGAATGTTAAGAACACCAGTACCAACTGAAAAACAATCATGAAATTTGGAGTAATATAACCTCACTTACGACGAAATGAAGTGAACTTTGAATGAAGATTGTGGAAAATGTAAGGCTTCTTCCGCAAATTTTTTAACTGATAACATGTAATTAAGGTGTCCTCTATTCATTTCTATCAATTTCATGATCATACCTGGGGGGCTTATTAGCGCAACGTAACCGCGTCTGGTTTCACAGTCGACGATTTCGGGCGGTATAGCCCAGTATTTCAAACCGCAAATTCCGTTCATAAGACGACTCGTCAAAATGTTTCGAACAGACTCAGGTAGTTTTCACATTAATGTGACCTTGCCGGTTACAAGGTGTTATACAGGGTATTAGTATAGGGGAGTAGAGACACAGCCGATGATTAGGGCCTTGTACAAAATTGATGTAGAATAATGTCGGTGATATATGTTTGTGCAATTAATAAATAACAATCCGACATCATCCGTTTATTTCCAACGACCCAACAAATATAACAGTGGCGACGAGGACGAAAAATACGAATCTACGTTAATACATATGCATTTTACAAGATCACGTTCGGTGCGTTCCAAAAGTAAGGTTAAGGGCATACACACTGAAAAAGAATTTACATAAGTCATGACTACGACCACAAGTTCAACGGCTACGACAAATACAACTACAAGCCCAATGGCTACTATGGAAAGTTCTGGGACTACACTTACATCTTCTACCCAAGAACCGATTTCACATGCCGTACATACAGTATTCTCCATTGAAACGTACGATACAACTAAAAACTTTGATAGATGGTTAATGAGGTTGGAGAGCGCATTTAGTGTGTTCGGAGTACCAAGGAATAAGCAAGCACCATACCTTTTACATTACATGGGTCCAGACGCATATGACGTTTTGTGTGACAAATTATCACCAGAAGTACCAGTACAAAAAACTTACGAAGAGTTGGTGAATTATATGAAAACTCATTATAATCCGGAACCATTGGAGATAGCGGAGATATTTCGATTTCTACAGAGAAGACAGCACGAAGGCGAAAGTACACAAGATTTTTTAACATCCTTGCAAAAGTTAGCGACCAAGTGCAATTACGGAACATATCTTAAGAAGGCACTACGTAATCAGTTTGTCTTTGGACTGCGGAACCAAGCAATACAAAGTCGTTTATTGGAACATAAGGATTTAACCGTAGAAAAGGCAGTAGAAGTTGCGAAGAGTATGGAGGTGTCTCAAAGAGACGCAGCTCAACTACACAATGCTCACCGTGGGACAGTACAATCCATTACACCAGCATATAAAAACTCTAAGTTTTCAAAAAGTGGAAATTTTGTAAAACCATTTTCAAGTTCAGATGTTAATACTAACAAAATATTTTGTTACAGGTGTGGCGATAGTAATCATGTAGCATCTAAATGCAGAAAGAAGAAGCTCTATTGCAGTCTTTGTAAAGGGCAAGGTCACGTAAGCAAAGTATGTATGAAAGTAAGGCAACAGAAACAACAGGCGAATCAGGTAGAAG